TGTAGTTTATTACAATTCTTGTGTATATCTTGGTAGTTTGTTTATTTTAAATGAAATTTCTCTGTCTTGCTGAGTTTTGTTGGTATCATACAGAAATGCTTATTATTTGTGTGGATTTATTTTATGTTCTGCAGCTTTGTTGAAGTTATTGTTTCAATTAATTTTTAATTGACTCTCTAGGATTCTTTATATCCTATCACCTGCAAAAAAATAATTTAGTTTCTTCTTATGCTTATCATCTCAATTTCTTTTATTTTCTTATTGCTGTAGCCAGTAATTTTAGTATTTAGTCAAATAGAAGTAGCAACAATGGACAGATATCCTTGTTTCACTGCAGATTTTATTGGAAAGGGTTCTAGTTTATCCCTATTACAAATAATGTTTAACTCTTTGCTTTAGATATAAGCTATTTATTATTTTAATAAAGGTCTTTTTATTCTTTTGTTCGAACAGAAATGGATGTTATATTTTGTTGAAAACCTTTTCTGTGTCTGTGGATATAATCATGTTATTTTTGTATTTGTCATTAATATGATTAAAGTTCCTCATATTAAGCCAACCCTGTATTAGTGGTATAAATCTAACCTGGTAATAGTGTATAATCTTTGTTATATGCTGTTTCAGCTTATTTGTTAATGTTTTATTTAATATTTTTATGTCAATGTTCATTGACAGTAGTCTGTAATTTTCCTTTTAAGATTTGAGTTTCCATGCTTTATATATCAAGACCCTCTTTGTGTCAGAAAGAATTAAGTAGAATGTTGCCTAAAACACATCTGTAAAAGATGCATTTAATATTTCTGCCTTATTGCATTTGTTTGTGAAGTTTTTATGCCCTAATTCATTGTCATTTCTTGTAAAGGTGCCATATATAGCTGAAAAATATGTATACTTTCTATTCTAGTTCAGCATCCTCTAGAAATTTATCATATTTAATCTTTCTACAATTCTATTCAAGTCTTTCTTTTTTGTTTAGTTTTAAATTTAATTTATTTAGGTCTGAGGTAAATTGGGGTGTCCCTCTAGTGTGGTTTTAATGTCTGTTTCTCCCTGTTGCAATTTAATTTTTCCTTAATGAATTTGGATGCTCTACTATTTGGTGTATATTTAGTATTGCTATTAATTCATTGTCTACAGTATCTTTCAGCAAAATGTACTTTCTCTACTTATTTCTTTTAGGTACATCTGTTTTTGCTGTTGCCTTTTCTAAAATCACAGTTACTACTTCTGCCTTTTATTTTTACTTCGGCAGAAGCAAAATCCAGTCCTTTTATTTCTATGCTTCTTTCTGTTTTATATATGTTTCTTGCAAATAACGTATTGTTTCATTCTGATTTCTGATCTATTCTGCTAGCCTTTTTGTTTTATGGGCGATTTCATCCCATTCACATTTACCATTATAACTGTTAGTTGTGCTTTCCCCTCGATCTTATACTCTTATTTTTTCCCTTCTCTTTGTTTCCTACAACACTCTGTAAAATTTTTCTTCTGACTAACCCTTCTCTTAATCTATCCTCTGCTTTACTTCTCCCTTTTCCTTAATCCTTTTCCCTTGTTTCCTGGTTGGATGATATATTTCTGTACCCAACTTGTGTGTGTGTGTGTGTGTGTGTGTGTTCTTCCCTTCCAGTTCATAAGAGAGAGGTTCAAATGTCATCTGTTCCTCCCACCCCTTCCATGTTATATTGACTTCTACTTGCATATCTCAGTTATGTGAGATAATTTTCCCCATTCTTCCTCTCCTTTTCCTCCCTGCCCCTGGGTATTCCTCTTTCCTTCTCTTTTCAATCTAATTTTAAGATTATCAAAATATAATAAAATCACTCCCAGGCCTTCAGTCTAATTAGACTCCCTTTTTGACCCCGATGATGATAAAATTCTGAGGGGATATATGTATTATCTTTCAGTATAAGAATATAAACAGTTCTGTCCTTGTTTTAGTCTTTTATGATCATTTATATCTTCCTTTTTATGCTTTTCTTGACTTCTTTGTTTGTATGTTAAAGTTCCTACACAACTCTGGTCTTTAGTAATGCTTGAAAGTTTTCTTAAAGGTAAATTTTTTCCCCTGGTAGAATTATGTTTAGTTTTGCTGGATATTTTTGGTTTTAAGTATATATATTTTTTCTTTCTGGAATATATTTCATGCTCTCCTCTTCTTTGTTATGGTTGTTGCTGAATCTTGTATGATCCTAACTGTGGTTCCTCAGTACTTGAATTCTTTCTGTCTGTCTGTTTGCAGTATTTTTATTTGACCTGAGAGCTCTGGATTTTGGATGTATTTTCCTGGGAGTTTTCATTTTGGGGTTTCTTTCAGGAGGTAACCACTGCATGCTTTCTGTTTCTACTTTGCCCTCTGGTTCTAAGACATTTAGACAGTTTTCTTTTGTGACTTCTTGAAATATGATGTCTCGGCTCTTTTTTTGGTCATGTCTTTTGGGTAATCCAGTGAATCTAAAATGATCTCTCTTTCATCTGTTTTATAGGTCGGTTGTTTTTACTGTTAGATACTTTACATTTTTGTCTGTTGTTTCAATATTTTGAATTTGTTTTAATCTTTCTTACTGTTTCATGGAGTCATTAGTTTCTGTACAGTCAGTTCTGATTTTCAGGGAGTTATTTTGAATAAGGTTTTGTATCTCTTGTTCCAAGCTGTTAATTTTCTTTACATATTTTCTCCCATAGTTCTCATTTTCTCCCCATTTTTTTTCTACTGCTCTTATTTTTAAAATCTTTTTTTAAAGCTCTTTAAAAAAAAAAAAAACCAAAACTCTTGCTTTATCTTTTCCAGGAATTCTGATCTGTGCCTTAGCTGCATTTTCCTTTGAGGCTTTGCTTGTAGATATCTTGAAGTCATTCTTTTCTTCTGGGTTTGTGTCTCGAGTTTCCCTTTTATTGTAACAGCTGTTTATGGTGGGATTCTTTTTTTGTTTGTTCATTCTTCTAGTTTGTTTCTTGACTTTGGGTGTTATGTTAGGGCTAGACTTGGTGTACTTCTGGGGGTTATTTTTGGGCTGAGCTTTAGTCTTCTTTGGTACTGCACTTCTTTATACGGGATATTAAGTGTTGTGTTCCCCCAGGGTCTCAGGAATAGCTCATGCTGGGAACTTGAAAGTTTTCAGTGCTCCCAGTGTGAGGTGATCCAAAATGAAGTCTTCTCATTACCCTCTAGGTCTAAACTCTGCAAATTCTTGACCCTTGTATATGTCTGAGCAAGATGTCTTACCAGCTTGCTCTGGTCAAAAGTTGTAGTAGTCTGCTGCTGGACTCAGTTATTTTTGCTTGCTGGTAAGCTCTGCAGGTTCAGAACAACCAAATTGGAGACTCTCCTTTGGTCTCAAATTCCTGCCCTGGTTGTTCCCCTTTTTGCAGTCTTCAGACTGGGCTGAAGACTAGAACTGAATCCTTGTTCTGCTGTTAAAACTGTAGCCACACAGCTTCTGTTTGTTTCTGAACTTGTTCCTTGCTCAGTACACAGCTGGTGTCCATGACTATGACCACTCTTCTCACTTATCCCTAGATACAGGTTATCTTTTCTGCCTCCTTGGATCTCTGACCTGGAACTGGATAGTAAGTGACAGAGCTGTCAGATGGCACTCTTTCCTGCATCCTGCACTAGTTGAGGAACTGCCTAGTACTTCTTGCTGTCCCGCTACACAGCCAGAGTCTCCTCTTTCAATCCCTGAATGCTGAGATACTCCATAGGACTTGTTTCTGGTTTAATTCTGTTCCCTGCAGACCTCTCTGTCTGTCTCCCTTTGCCATGGGTGGGGAACCTGCAGCCTCGAGGCCACATGTGGCCCTCTAGGTTCTCAAGTGAGGCCCTTTGAAGGGAAATCCAGACTTGAAGTTTGGGCTGCACTTGAGGACCTAGAGGGCCACATGTGGCCTTGAGACCACAGGTTCCCTACCCCTGCCCTGTACCAATCTGGACTAGAAAAATGACTTGTGATTTTTTTTTTCCTTGGATTTTTCCTTATCAGGGTTAGGTCTGATGTGTTTTCTGGATCTTTATGGAGGGGATCTGGTGGGAGAGCTGAGATGTTCTTATTCCTACTACTCTGCTAGTTTAACTCCCTGTTACTATAATTAAAATGTAATATTAACTGAGACTAATAAGGTCAACTCTAGTTAGAGAATTTGCTATAAGCAGATTTAATAGGTCCCTTTTTTCTTTCATTATATCTTTATATTTGTGAGAGATGGCTATTCACTTTTCTTTTGTATTGGTGACTGGAACCAAGTAAATAATGGTATGGAGGAATTGAGTAGTATTTGAAATCTTTCAAATGCATATGTTTATACATATATGTTTATTTGGCTGGGAAAATTGATGGCTTTTTATCTAGGAGTAGGCTGACACAATGGAGCATGCATTATAATTGAATGTTTTGGAATTAATTTGTAGTTTTTCATCAGTGATTGGGGCATTGACAGCAAAAAGAATCACTGGGTCACACAGAATTTAAAGTTTTGAGAAATACCTATAAAGGTGATTGTACTATGTGTTATTAAAATAGTCTCTTTGTTGTCTTTTTTTTTCTTTACCAACCCCAATGAATACCTTATGGAAATATTTAAATCCCAGTTCTCCTACTAAATACCTTGTGGCCATGAGTCAGACCTTCACCTCTCTGGTCCTCAGTTTTCTCTTTTATAAAATGAAGGTTTTGGGCTACATAGATCAACTTTAAAATCTTGTGATCCTAGGAATGCTGAGAAATTCTGTGTAATTCACAAAATTGTAGCTTTTTTTGAGCTGAAATAGAAGTTATTTGAGAAACTTCAAAATCTTCCATGAGATTTTGGCCACAGTGATGATTGTAGTATTTTTGTTTCTGTAGGAAATAGTGTGGGTTTTATTGACTAGTAGTTGGTTTTTTATATTCCTGAAAAATTTAATACTGTTTTGAACTTTGGCAGAATAGGACCATCTGCCTTTCATTGACCAAACTGGAAAAAACATTTTTGAAATAATCGAATTTTTCCATGCATTTTAGCGTTAAAGATGCCTCGGAGGAAGAAGAAAGTTACAGAAACTACTGAATCTGAGAGATTGGAGGAGGAGAATCAAATCCTCAAAGTAAAGAAGATGGAAAATTTATTCATTGTCATATCTGATAGTGATGAGGTTAGTATTATGAAAAGTAGAACTCTAACAACCCAATTTAATGTGCTATACTGCCTGGATTTGGAGTCAGAAGATCTGGGTTCTGATCCTGTGCCTGTGATTTACCACCTGTGATTTATATCATTTAAGGTCTCTGATCCTCATTTTCCTTATTGATATGTAATATAAGGAGGTTGGACTAGATGATATCTCAAGTTGCTTCCAGATTTTACAGTTATGATTTATAAGTTAGCCCTATTTATCCTTGGGTGCAGGTTATGTTTTTGGGTTTTGATGTCACCTGCTACCCTTTTATTTTTTCCTTTAAATAATATATTATGGTATGGTTGATAGAAAGCTTGATTCAGAGTCAGAACAACCAGAGTTCAAGTCTTTCCCCTGGCACATATTGTTTAAACCTCAGGCAACTTTGTATTACTATATAAGTTGCAGAATAGTTGCCAGTCTTCATGGCTTGAAGTTTACCAGGTCCAAAATAAAGTTTGTTTTGACAAACTTTACATCCAACAAAAACTCTGTGAAAATATTTTCTTGAAAACATTTAAGTAAAACCATTTAATAGTGATTGCTATTAATGATGTATTTATTTCAACAAGTGTTTGCTACTTTTCCACTTTTGTAGTTTATTTTATAAAAATAAGTTTTTATTGATCTGTTTCTTACATCATCATAATTATTTCAAGTATCCTTCCCCTTTCTCCTCCCAGATAGTCATCCCATATAACAAATAGTATTTGTTAAAGAGAAAAAAAAATCAGCATAACTAATCAATACATTAAGAAAATCCAGAAACATGCAATATGTAACAGCTATGGACCTCCACCGCCACAAAGAGGTGGGTTGGAGGTGTCTTCTTATATATCTTCATTTGAGTCCTCTTTGATCCTAATTTTGTTATATTCACTTTTAAGTTTTTGGTCTGTAGTTCTTTCCAGTTACGTTGTTGTAGTTATTGTGTACATTGCTTTCCTTCGCTCTGCTTATTTCACTCTGTGTCAGTTTATGTAGGTCTTTGCCATGCTTCTGTGTATTCATTACACGTATGATTTCTTACAGCATAATAGCATTTCTTTACATACGTGTATCACAATTTCTTTTATCTATTCCGAATTGTTTCCATTTCTTTACTATTACAAAAAGTGCTTCTATAAATATATTGGTATATATGGGGACTTTCTTCTTATCAGTGTCTTCCTTGAGATATAAGCCCCATATTCGAATCTTTAGGTCAAAGATCATGGACATTTTAGTCATTTTATTTGTATAATTCCAACTTGCTTTCCAAAATGGTTGTATGAAGTCACAGCTCCACCAGCAATGCATCAGTTTGCCTATTTTCTCACAATCCCTCCAACATTGCCTTTTGTCATCTTTGCCAGTTTTCAAGGGACTAGGTGAATTTTCAGTGTTTTGATTTGCATTTCTCTTGTTATTAATGATTTGGAGCATTCTTTTATGTGGTTGTGAATACTTTGCAGTTCTTTTTTTGATAATTGTTCAAAACCTATGCTTATAGATTGTCTGTTTATCTTGGATACCAAACCCTTACCAGAGCAATTTGATATAAATGTTTTTTTCCCATTTAGATCACTTTTGTCTATGCAGGAGCTTTTTAGTTTCATGTAATTAAAGTTATCTATTTTATCTTTTGTAATTGTCTCTCTCCCTCATTTGGTTAAGAATATATCTCTTATCCATAGCTGTGAAAGGTATATGATCTATAATTCTTTTCTAATTTTTTTTTTATAAAATGATGTTCAATATTAAGGTCATATATCCATTTGGAATGTGTTGTTCCCTTTAGAGTAAGGTGGTGGTCTAAGCCTAGTTTCTGCCAAGATGCTTTCTAGCTTTCCCAGCAGTTTTATTGTTTTAATGAAATAAGGAGGTTTTTCCTCGGTAACTTATGTTTTCCAATTTATCAGTTGCTTGGTTATTCAGTTCTTTTGTGTCTGATTCTACCTTGTCTAGTCTGTTTCATTGAACTATCTATTTTTAGCTAATATCAGATGGTTTTGATGACTGCTGCTTAATAATATAGTCTGAGGTCTGAAAGTACTGTTCCCCTCCTTTGTCCCTAGTTCTTTTAATTATTTTCTTTGATAGTCTAGACCTTTTGTTTTTGCAAATGAATTTTATTGTTATTTTCTCAAGTTCTATGACATATTCCCATGGTCACTTGGTATAGCCTTAGAAGTGTAAGTTAACTCTGGTAGTATTGTAATTTATTTTTATTTTATTTTATTTTTTGGCTAGGCAGTGAGCTTCAGTGACTTACCCAGGGTCACACAGCTAGTAAGTGTCAAGTGTCTGAGGCTGGATAGTATTGTAATTTTTATTATGTTGTATGGCTTAGCTGTGAGTACTTAATATTCCTCCAGCTATTTAAGTTCTTTATTTCTTTAGGAGCAGTTTATTGTAGGTTATTTTTAGGAAGCATATGTTGGTATATGGATCAAAGTTGTTTGACCCACTTGTTGATTGTGTATTGTATTTTAATTGAATTTTAATTCTTTTAAGTATTGTCTTCCTTGTAATCATTGTATATATTTTGCTGCTTCTTTCTTCACTCTTGTATCACTTAATAGAGTGGTAAAGCATCTTCTAAATGTCTTTTCCATTGATAAAACCATGTCTGTTTCTGTTAAATCATTTGACAGTGCCAAGTACTTTGGTGGTAAGAGCTTTCTTTTATGGGTCTTTGTGACTGCTGAGGAGTTAGGGGCAGCAAAGGTAGTTGATAGATTTCATCTCCATGAGTTGATTTTCTAATTGATGGCTGTAGAGACTGAGCTGGTGACAAAGTTGATGGTCTGAGAAGATATTGCCATTCTTGGGGCTCTTGGGTTTACTTTCCAGTCTGTGGTTAGTATTGGTGAAGCAGGGATTGTGGGTATCTTCTCCTCTTCAACAGTAAATCCTAAAGATGTGTGCCATTGGTTCCCAGGGAACAAAGTACGAGACTGTGAAAGTGTGAACATAATCCATTACCACTGCTGAAAAAACAACTTTGTTAACAGCACATAAAGAAAGACATTTCTAGCTAAAAATGGTTACTTAATCAGCATGGTATCCTGAGGGAGAGATAGGAGTAGGCATATGTTAGATAGACCAAACCATCTCATTACTACCTCCCCTCAGACACTGGTGGAGACAGCCTGGAACCAAGAGCCTGGGAATAATAGCATCCCCCAGGTGATCAGATTTGCTTCCATGCTATTGTTTGTCACTATTCATTTGAGTGCCTTAATTTAAAATGTAGGATCACAGGATTTAGAAGTGATTGGTACTTTAAGGATCATGTAGTTTAACATTATTATTTTACAGATGGGGAAACCAGAATGGTAAAGTTATTTGCCCAAGGTTGCACAGGTCGTAAATTGCAGTGCTCACTTAAAATCTGAGATCCTCTGAATCTACATCTAGGGCTTTTTTCACTGTACTATATAAAATATACCTATACATGGGAATCTTTCTGAAAAATCTATTCTGTTGTAGAATTACCCCCGTGAAAATTTTGGTAGGAGTATCTGTCATACTGCCAGAAGAAATTTGCCCATATGGGTTACTAACCAGTTAGATTCTGTGTGAAAACAGTTCATGTGGCTAGTTGATGAATTGGATTTATCTATCTCTGTCTATTTCAATTTTCACATCCTCTATTTTAAGATCCTCATCTGTCACTTTGAAATATTCCTGTTGGATAAAAGCCTTTGCTTTCCTGAGACATTGAAAAACAGTCTCAGGATGCCATAGTATTTCTTCAGTCTTTTTGAAAACCACTTATTGAATCTTGCAGCTTTTGTTTTTCTTTTCAGCCTCTGTCTACATCTTTTTAAAAGATGTACTATAGTTCAGTTATTATTATTTTGCTGAAAATTAAAAGGGTTTTTTTTTTGCAGTAGTATTCTTTCTCTTTCATTTACGCTTGTTATCCAAGTTTTAGCTTACTGACAAACTATTGATTTAATGTATGTTCTCTTTATTTCTTATCAGTTTCTTTTACATATTTTTGTTGTTCTTTTCATTCATGTCTTTTTTGTGACTCTATTTTGAGGTTTTCTTGGCAAAGATCCTAGAGTGGTTCTTCTCCATCTTATTTTACAAATGAGTAACTGAGCAAACAGGATTTAGTGACTTGCTCAGGGTTACACAGCTAGTAAGTGTCTGAGGCCACATTTGAACTCAGGAAGATGAGTCTTCTTGACTTTTCAGGCCTGTAACTATTCACTGCACCAGCTAGCTGCCCCTATTCCTGTTCTCTTTCTGTATTTAAAAAGCTGTTTTATTGATGCTCTTTTCTTTAATTCTTTTTTTGGGGGGAGGTGGTGAAAGGAAAACTATATGGGAGGGTTTGAAGGGTAGCAATAATAACACCCCCCCAAAAAAAAGCCTTTTCTTTTATTAAATTAATGTTGTCAAGCAAAAGTAATATATGTTGGGCATGTTTGAGCATGTATGTTTCATTTTGTGTCTTTGACACGTTGCATCATCTGTAATCGTGATTGATCGTTGAATCAAGCATATTCTTTTTCATTATAATTGTTCCTTGTCAAAGTCGTATTTGTATAAATTGTTCTATTTCTGCTCATTTCATTTTATGTCAGTTCTTCTAAGTCCTTCCAGATTTCTCTAAATCTATCCCTTTTGTCATTTATTTTTGTTATAGATTGCTCCTTAAGATGCAATAATATTCCATTACATAAATTACTTAGGAAAGAACTTCCCATTTGATGATAACTGCTGGGAAAACTGGAAAGCTGGCAGAAATTAGGCTTAGGCCAGCACCTTACACCATATTTCACAATACATTCTAAATGGATATGTGACCTTAATATTAAGGATAATACTATTAAAAAAATTAGAAGAGGAGCAGCTCATATAGGTAGCAATGTATTCTTAACCAAATGAGGGACTGAGGCAATTACAGAAGATAAGATACATAACTGATTATATGAAATTGAAAAGCTTCTGCAGATAAAATGAATTCACCTAGAATA